AAAAAAAATGTCTCTTCAATCTTCCGATTCTTCTGTATTGCCATCTGTTCTGTTTAGGTATGTATGTATATATATACGGATAAGCATATAAATAGTATTCATTTGATTATAATATCAGTTGTGGCAAAAGCAAAAAGATAAGTGCTATGAATCGTGCAAAAAAAAAAATTGACTTCCCAGAACTTCATTCCTTGCCATATCTTTCCGTTTCTTTGTCCCCTTCTACTTCATCATCCCACCTTCTGCTTCATCATCCCATGCATTTTCCTCCGACCTCAACAATCTTTTCGCCTATTAAATGAAAAAAAGAAGAAAAAAGGGCATGAGCAAAAGATCGCAGAAAAAAGAAGGTAGGGTAAATGCATCACGATGTCAATGTTTCTGTACTTCTGTTTCACTCCAAGTTTCTTTTTCACTAATTCAAGACTCTCCTCACCGTTGTTTCATTCCAACAAGTTTGTCTATGATAGGGCACCATAATCAATCAAATAAACACCTCTTGTGCCAGCATCATTACCAGCAGTTTTTGCATCAGACCACTTCCAATAGTAAAAAACAGCATCAGTTCCCTGTTGTTGTCATTTTTTTCAGTACAACTGTGCTGCAATCGTATAACAACCATTGCATTTTTTCAATTACTATCGACTTACAATACCTTTGTTTCTCGTTTCTTCCTGAACAGTTTACAAATAAGGTTATCAAACAGCAGATTAATTTGGAGTACAAAAGTTATCTTCTGTGATGTGATTATCCTTTAATACGCACAATAATGGTCGCGCAGCAGAAGTAGGCTTACAGCCGTGTGACAAAGCACATTAGAACAGTCACTGATACATACAGCTCCGTGACTTTAAACTTCTTCCGCTACCCTACATCTGCTTATTGGAGCTCAACATTTGCCGATCCGAGTCAACTTCTTATCCACCACAGAGAATGCTAGGATTACTATATGAAGCAGTCAATGGATTATTAAATTGTACTTAAAGAAGATATATGGATTATTACATAGATGATTAGCATTGTTATTGCTGTTATTAGGTTTACAACTTCATTTATTTTATAAAGGCTTATTTAAAAAAGCATTTTGGCTATTCAAACGGATAGATAATCCCATCTATCAACGCTGACAAAAGTTCCGCTGCCCTCCAATCGGAAGACTTTCATCATATGTGGCGTATCTTTCAGTCTTCCTTCGTCGTTTCCTTATCCTTCCCCAACCTCTCCTTTCTTCCCTCCCGTCCCCCGTCGACAACTCAGCAGGGCTGCGTCACTAGGGGCGCTTTTGCAGCCATATTTCAAATAACAAAGGCCTTAGCGGCGATGTTCTCCTATGCCGTCTCTAAATGCAAACCTTTGGAATTCCATACGGCTTCTTCAGTTTCTTCCTACGCTTTGCCCTACACCCCTTCTCAGCTAAATTTAATGAC